GCGCCCCCCCCCCTAGAGAAGCCCAGGCCCAGGCCCCACTTGCTGGAGATTGAGGACTCATTGTCAATTCCACGAGTTGGAAGTGGCCCAGGTGCTAGAGATAGTCAAGATTATTGATTTCATTATAGCTACCTGTGTAAGAGTAGCAATTCCACCACAACTTCTTATATTCCTCTCGTCTGTTTGAAGACACAACTGTCTGCTCCTGCAAGCACTTGTATATACTGTAGGCTCTATGTGGTGAGGGTGGATACCTATACTGTATGGTCTCAATGATGGAGTGTGGAAGATTGTCTTGATTTGATGTGACTACTTTCCAATATTGAAGCATTTCTTTGTTCCACAAGGTTGTGGCTGAAACAAATTTAGACAATCAATGCTCAGTTTGCAACCCCACATGTCGAAACAAAAAAGCACCCCCCCAAAAAAGTCAGTCATGTTTCAGAACTCGTGAAGCAAACCGGTCATATATGTGTCCAATGCACCAAAAAGCAAGACCTTCGCTATCCCCAGCCTTCCAAGATCATTTCAATAAAAGGTTGAGCTGGTCTTCTAGTCTAAACCTTAGTATACCAAACAATTGTTTTGCAGTGAAACTCACACCCTTATGGCTTCTTTTCGTCCCTCTCTGGCCCTCCATCGAACAGCAGCTCCACAGTCGGTTGACGGAGCTGCAGCTCCGCGTAAACCGGGGCAGGAGAGAACTCAGTTATGTGTTGACTCGTTCGCCTTCAATTTGACCATTCAAAGAATGATTGATCTGCCCAGACGCTCATGGACCCTCCTAAGTAGGGGTCCGGACCCTCAAATATTAGGGTTTTGATGGACCAAGAGCTGTTTGGAGCGTCTGAGTGGTTGTGTTTGGTCCTTGAGGTTTGCAAAGAAGTCAGCACTGAGGTGTACTTAATGGACTTTGCTTAGTGTTCGGATGGACCCCTCTTGGCACAAAAGCTACCGGAAGCGTATTGAGCTGTCCTTCTTGGCTGGAGGATTTGGCTATTTGGTGCCATCCATTGTATTCTTTTTGCACGCTTGCGCAGGGAGAAACCTCTATGTCTATGGATAATTTTTATTTGAGGATAGAATTCACACGACTGTGCCCTCCGTTTGGGGGCCACCCATGGACTGCCCGGCCCGTTCGCACTAGCTACTTCCTGGGGACACTGCTTCAGTCTCCGATAACCCGTTTTCGCACTTCCAAAAACACATGACAAGACTAACCTGCATGGCCTCAGGGGTCAATGTAGGTAAACATATTATGTAATTAAATTAAATATATATGCCCTCCATGGACCCTAGCACACCCTAGCCTTCCAAGACTAGAACGTTTAACATATGCGCCCTACCTCCTGGCTGGTCGTCTAAACTCCTTAGGAGAGCCAGAAATCCCCCTAGTGAGGGTCTATGCGCCCCCCCGAGGACGGGTTTTCAATCATGTCCAGCTCACTTTTAGTGTACTGACATTTTTGGGTTGTAGCTATGTGACCTACCTCGTAACCTACCTCTCTCTCTCTCTCTCTTTTGTGGGGTGCCAGTTTTGCCGTGATCTGCTGAGTTCAAAGCGCAATCCGATTCTGCATGCCCGAAGTGTCACTCACTTCTTCGTTCGGAACAGCTGAAGGAAACGCACTGCTGACCTCGCAGCACAGAAACCCGGACGTCTCCCAATTCAATCGCGAGGTGATGCGTCCAATCGACTGAAAACTCACTTTACGGACCTTGAAAAGCACTGGTGCAGCTAGAAGAAAAACCGTCGGAATGACCGGTGCCATGCTTCTCCCCGAGTCTATGGGAGTGACCTATAGGGATACGTGTTGATCATCATCTGATAACATCGGTGACCCAGTCCTCATCGAACCGTCTGAGAGTCTAAGCTAAGCGCAAAGAGACGGCCAAGCACGGCCCGTCTCGCTACAAGCCAGGGATCAAGGATCCAGCGTTGCTGTGGCCGAGGTGGGACTGGGTCCAAAACCCGGAGGACCCTGGTGGACCACAGAGAATGAACAGAATCAACGACTATATAAGGATCAACCGAGCTAAAAGAGTCAACTGAGCTCCGCGTTTTGACCCACATGTCTGCCTATCACAGTTAGGGGAGGCCACCTGGAACAACCAGCCCAAACACCGGGCCGCTCGCGGAAGGAAACGCCGCTGCCTGCGGGTAAATGGCGGCCACCACCGGCAGCCGCTGCATCACCAGCCTTATGTGCTGGTCTGGAGACGGGTCGAGGCACGTAGAGGATTGGCTGAATTTGGAGGCCCAGAAAGGATCAACCCGCCCCAGATCCCAGAAGGGGCCCAAGGAATCCCAGGCGAGCCACAAACCCTAAGAAGACGTGTTCCGTATTCCCCATTCTTCAAAGAACCCTTTTCGATGTCGCAGGATGTCCGCAGTGAGGAAGCAGAAAGGGTCTGGAAGAAGGTGACTTGGAAGAAGCTGGATGATGCTGGATGTTAGGGGAATCAACATCATCCAATCATCTGGATCCCAAGCATGTTGGTCTCAGCACCAAAAATCTGATGTTTGGATCCCAAGTCACCAGACACTCCGCACTGGCGACATGTCGATCACTTTGGATGGTGGAAAACCAGGCGCAAAGACCCCAAACCCGACCCCGAAGCCAAACACTGCATGTGTGGCATATTTGCCTACCCTGGGCTGGTCGGTTAGCTGAAGTGAATGTGTGTATATATATATATGTATATGTATATATACAGAGAGAGAGAGAGAGATCTTCAAGTACCATCGGTCGTAACGATGGGACCCCGCATTGAATCCCTCAAATTCTAGTCAAACGAGACTCTGTTTCGATGTATCCTTTACATATGGGTGTGATTTTAAATAGGGAGACTCCCAGTTCGACGTTCTGGAAGAAGCAAAGTAAAGAGACCATGGCTACCCGGCCAGGGCCAGGATTCTTAAAATACAATAAGATACACGGGCGCACCGAATGTGAACCATCACGTGAGATCTCTTATCGCAGATAGATGGTTCTTGTGGAGGAATACAGTGCCGCCACCTTTCTCAGTTGCTTTTTTTTTGTAATCTCCAATCAAAATACCAGGAGAGAGATGTTGGTCTCAGTTAAACTACTTTGTTCCTTCTACCAGTGATTGGACTGGAGTCCTCCAGTTGTAAGGCAAACCCTGTTGGGACCATACATATCATTAGTTTAGAGGAGCCGTACGACACCCAACTTTCTTGCTTTTCCTGCTTGTCGAACGTCTCATCAAACCTGAACAACTCATTCAAGACCCTGCCATGATCGGAATGTCTTCCAGCGACTATCCCACCCAAACCCCACCATTGATTTAATGAGCTTTACTTACCAACGAACCATTGTTTTACTAAGGGAGTTCGGACAATGTCAACCCAGCAGCTTCTTGTTACTATAGTCCCATGAGGTCGGCTAAGGGTTGACCTGGTCCAACGCGACGCGGTGCTTTAAAACCCCTGGCATCGCCTCGCTGTTGAAACGACCGCGGGGAAACACCGCGGTGCGAAGAATCCTCAAAGCTTTCCGCCTGTGGAGGGGGGGGGGAAAAGCACATGTGGATTCTCATGCAGCTTGCACTTTACACCAACAGGCCTCCCAATGTCACGGGCTTTTTTTCTTGGTCGCACTGGAGAGAACAGCCCTCGTCTTCACGAACATTGAGACCTCTGTGTGTTCCACACGTAGTCGTTCCAAGGTCCCAGTCAATCACAGGGATCCATAAAATCGCTCGGATGGCTCAAAAATGGTTCAAGACAGAACCCATGTACTTGGCGATGTACGGCAACCTTAGTTAGATGAATGGCAGACAGTTTCAGGTCATCATGAAATTTTCTTCCCAGCAAATTAGACGGAAACTGAAAGTCGTGTCCAACAACTGCTCAAAGTGGGCCACATACATAGACCAATCCAAATTCCTACCAGGGCCCTAGCGGATTGCGTCTCGATTTGTGGTAGTGCACAATTGCTCTAAGCAACGCCTGCTTGGCCACATCAAAGGTGGGATCCAATTGCCTCACTAAGCCTTCACTGATGGAAATGGTGAAGAGCGTCGAGGCGACATCTCCTTTCAGGAGCATGCCGTGCCTGACCCCGCAGCGCGGACACTCCGCCCGGTGTCCAGCCGAAGGCAGCACCGTCGGCGTTGGGGTTGGGTGTCTAAGAGATGGTCAAGGCGGGCGTTGGTGCCAGGCGTTCGTGCCCCAGTCTGAAGTCCATGAGCCAGCAGTCACAAAGGGGTGCTTAATGGAGGTTTGGGGGTGCCCATTATCCACTCACTTAGGGACTAAACACCACCCCTTTGTGACTGCTGGAGTAAAGGAAATTCATGGGAAATTCTTAACTTCGGGTCATCCAGTCAGACCATGTCTAAAACCGTCTCGCTCTCCCAGTCAGGGAGTTCTTCGTGAACGACCCGCGCAACCGGAAGATCCCGGCACCGGCCCATTGTGAGTGGAGAAACCAACCCCCCAACATGGGGTGGGCTTTCGTCTATTCTCCGCATAAACTGTTTATAGATGTTTGATGGTTTGGTAGATGTATTGATGATTTGATGGTTTGATGGTGTTTGATGGTGTTTGATGGTTTGGTGCTTTCTGGCAGACATCAAGTCCCAGGCGTGGCGTCGCGGACGTCGCTCCCGGTCCCGGTCCCCGGGCGTGCCGGCGACCCGGCCCTGTTCTACTCGGTGTTCGGTGCACTGGGTACATGACATCAAGAGTATCACTGGGTCCAACATCTCGTCAGCTCCAAAAGAAGACAAACTAAAAACTAAACACACAGTCCTCAGCTCAGTTGGAAAAGATCCCAAACAAAACTTCAACTCTTTCCCCTACCAAGCCAAAACAAACCATCCAAATCCCGGTTTCTGGCAGCCCAAACACACACACAAAACAAAAAGAAGACCACAAAAACACACAAAAAAACAGGACACGCGCGAAACCACGGTGACGCCCGACACCAACTCGGCAGGGGGGGTGTCCGGTTTCCGGTCTTCGCTTCGGTTGACCACTCCGAGCGGCCTCTGCAAGGTGAACATCACCTGAGAGATCCGCGGCGGTGGAAGCCATACGATCCCAACTGGATCGTTAATTGAAACAAACATGTTATACCAGTAGTCACAAAGGGGTGCCCAATGGAAGCCCCTACACCACTAAGGGACCTCCATTGGACACCCCTTGAAGGTCCAGTAGTCACAAAGGGGTGCCGAACTTGGAGGAAGTCGGGGTGCCCCTGTCACATCCACTCACTGGATGGGACGAGCCACACCACCCCGAGCTCTGTGACCCCTGGTAACTGTTGTTATATATTATTATCGCAGACGAGTCGGATGCTCCTTCGCCCGGCAAGCCTCACACGGCTTATCTCAGCGTGGTTATAACTGTTATTAAAAAAATAAACAATTAAACAAACTTAGTTATTTTTATTAATTGAACCAATTTAATTTTGGAAAGAAACTTGTTTAATGAGTTGTTATACACAACATATATACCAGCTGCTTCCAAGGGGTTACCAATGGACAACCCTACACTTCTGATAGGTCACCATTGGACATCCTACAGATCTCAAAGGATTCATGTTATAGTCCATCTGCTGTATGAAACTTGTGGTTGATTTCAAACAAAACAGGGTGTAAAAGTTCATACATACGTCTTTTGTCTCTCGGGAATGTTCGTTTCTCTGGAAAACTCCGGGTTCTCCAAACGTTCCAAACTGGTTGGAAAATCAGTGGGGCGTCCCCATTGTCCGGGAGCTTCACTTCGTTCGTACAAAAGAAAAACGACAAGAGCGAAGTGAGTGGATGTCAGCCAAAAAGGCACACCATGAGTGTCGTGGCCGTGAGTTCAATGGCTGCGGCTTCTGATCAAACGGCGGCGGCGACGACGAGGACAACGACAAAAGCCAAAAGAACAAGAACCACCTGCCACTACAAGCCGCAAGAGCAAAAATGAGCAAAATACAAGCCGCAAGCCACTACAACAACCATGAGCAAAATGCTACCACAAGCCGCAAGATGTCGCAAGCACGACAACGTCGACAACCAACCAAACGCCTCGAGCACCGGTCCCGGTCGCACCTCTCCAAACATATCCGCCGCATTGAGAGGGCCGTGCTGATTCAGTCTGAAAGGGCCCATGTATTTGTCCATGGTTTCCTCGGCGGAGGCGCTCGCTCCTTTGGCGGTCTGCTAAGCCGCTTGTCTTAGCGTTTAATCTCGCTTAATCAGTTTAATCATGTGTAATCTAACTATATTATAAGTATGAAATCCATTCTAAGCCGTTTAATCAGCTGACTAGTGATCTAGTATGAAATCTTTTCAAAACCGAATGAACCAAGGATCTATAAGAGGCTTCCTTGGCTGTCTACAGCTCCTTTGCTAAGCCCTAGGATTGGCGGCACGGAACAACGATTGTTTTACTAAGGATGTTGTAATGGTGTCCTTGGCTGGTCCATGCTCTGGTTTTGGATTTGTATAACGTTGCTTTTCGTGGCTTTAAGACAAATGCCAGAAAATCCCTTTCCCTAAACCCGAGGACTCTCTAAAGACGGTCGACCGTCAAGTCATTGACGCCGTCCTTTTTCGGACCGTCCCAAGGGTCCTGAATATCCGTCTTCAGCTGCTTCGTGTTGACGCAGATCTTGGACTCGTTAAATCGCTGGAGGTAGTCGACGACGATGTCGGTCTGGCCAGAACAAAGCCTTGGATTGGCTGATTCGGAACCTGGCAAACAATACATGGTTTCCCAGGTTAGGGGAGTGACCCAGTTCGGGAAAATAGAGAAACTCCCACCTGATCAGCAAAACCTGGAAGCGCATGCAGGAACACACCGAAGGGAGCAAAGGTCCTCTTCTCCAAGGAGGTGGCGATGCCAGCATCAAGCACGGTCACGTGGTCATCTGACATGGAATAAAGGATGTTGCCCCCATGTAGGTCGCCATGGACAAAATTGTCCCTCACCATCATCTTCATGCTCATGTCATAGAGGATCTTGGATAACTTTCCTTGCACCTGGCGTTTCTTCTCTTCCAGCGCGCTCACAGCGTCCTGGCATTTGGCCTTGGCATTGTCAAAGTCCTCCATGATATTGGAAATGAGCTCGCCACTTTCCCATGTCTCCACCAACACTTCTGGAGTCACAAAGCGTGAAGAGACCTGGTGGGTCATGGTGTTCGACGAGTCTGTCGCGTTTTCGTCGTGTCTACCC